GGCTGCGCTCAGTGTCATCCGGGCAGGATCACAGAGCAGCGGGGCCCGCCGGCCTGAGGCAGGAGAACCCCTGGCCTCATCCACAGCATGGCACAACCCACAGGCTCTGCCTAAGACCAGCGTCGAGCCTGACACAACAGACTTAACCCCCACGGCAGAGGAGGGCCACGGCAGCCATGTATGAAGGGTTGTCAATAGATGCTCAAGAGATCCCTGGTAGAGGGCCACACCCCGGCTGCAGGGGAAGGCAACCCAGTCTGTACCAATCCGAGCAGGGGGTAAACTTCCCTCCTGACTTCAGCCAGGCAGTTGGTCCGACTGAGCAAAGGGGCAAGATCCTTTCACCAGGATCCTCCAGCTGTGGTCCCAGCAGGAGCATTGGCACACCCCAGCCAAAGCCCCCAGCCTTGGCTATAGTCAACACCCAGTGCCTCTGGGAAGGCTTAAAAACACCCTGATCCATGTAGCAGAAAAGCAAGGCAGGGAGGGGGGCAACCAGCAAAGCCCAAAGGCATGGGAAATCTCCACGGTACAAGTAGGTACAGCTAGATCATTCCCAACCAGTGGCTGTCCAACCTGTTCTTGAAGACCTCTGGTGATGGAGAGTCCACAACTTAACAGGGAGTTTACTACACTGCCTCGCTGGTCAAACCGTGAAGAAGTGTTTCCAGATGTCCAGTCTAAACTTACTTTGCTGCAACCTCAAGCCTTGGTCTGCACCCTCCTCTCTGCAGCAGGGAGGGAGGTGCTTTCCCTCTTCTTTATGGCAGCCCTTCAAGTATTTGAAGACTGTTATCATGCCCCCTGTAGTGTTAAGTGCCTTTTCCACAAGCTGAGCATACCCCTCTCCTTCAACCTGCTCATGGGGAGTCAGTGTAGACTATGAGACCATGGTAGCTATAAAAATCTTTGCCTTAAAGGTTTAGAAAAGGATTTTTGAGCAAGGGGAAAGGCAATTTTCAGAGGAGAGGAACTAATTAGTGGCATCATCTTTCTCCTCTTGTTCCCTCCATGCTCTCAGAACTTGCCCCAACTCCTCTCCCGGTTTCTACAAGCTGTGCTTTATTCCTAATGAGTTGATACATCTGTTTCCAGCACATGTCAGCTGTCAAGAAAGAGACAAAAATTCATTACCATGCACTTTCCCCATGTTCAGACTTTTGGTTTCTAAAAAGAAAATGCAAAACCAACCAACATTGGTTACTTCCACTGTTAACAACAATTGGTCTGACTTTGAGAAGGCAACTTAGGTCATCACAATATTCTATTTTTCTTTCAGCTGAATAGATGCAGAGGTAGCCTCAAGGAACACAATATTTAAAGGTGGGACGTTAAGACATGAATTGTCTGTTTGCTGCCTCAGTCTATGCAGAGACAGGTAATTCTGTTTCAAGTATTTAATGTACACTTATTAGATGTAATGTAAATTATTCTAATGTAGACTATAATAACAACATGCCGACTTAAATATGCTTTGTAAAAGAGAAATTCAGCCCCAGTCAGAAGCTGTAAGATAATTATCTCTTTTGTTGTAATTTGAAAATATTCCCCCTTTAAATCTTATGCAGTCAGTCACAGAGACAAAAAAGCAGATTTGCTCATGTCACTTTCTCATCTTTGTAAATAGACTGCCTACAGTGGGTCAGAGCTGCTTGCTCTGACAATGAGAAGTTCTCTCTCTCTTTTAAAGAAAATACTGTTTTCATTTTCTTCTTTCAGAATCACTTGAAAACCCCTCCCTCCTTTCCACACTCCCCATCAATGCTTAGATTTTGTTTTCAATAGCTGGGGGGACTTGTCAGATGGGGAGTACAGGGTACTAGTAAACCCTTCCCTGTCTTACAGGAAGTTAGTGAACGACACTAGCTCACTTGGTACAGAAAAGCAAAGATGCAGTCTTCAACTGTGCAGCAGAGGAGACATTAGGAGTACACCTACTACTACATGACTCAGCCTTGCATGAGCAACTCACAGCTATGTGAATGAGAAGCAGATCAACTACCTAGTTTATAGCTTATTCAGACTTCTCTTTTTGTAGAAGACAACTCTGCGGCCTTATCCAGGTTAGAAGGGATTTCTTGTTTGTTATAGTCTGAAGCTATAAAGAAAATTTTCAGTTTCGATATTTCAAAGTTTATACTGCCTGAAGCATTCCCACTCCACCCTCAGTACTTTACAGCACCTGTTACGTCCAAGCCATCTACATATACCTGATCACTTCAGGAGCAGCTCTTTAAAGAACTACAGGATCAAACTATAATCATAACCACTAAGTGGTAAGACTTTGGATTTTTTTTTTAGTGCAGGACTGAGGTTTATGGTATATTTCCTAACGTTTTTTTTATCCAGATTAATTTTACATTCTCTTCAGAGTGCAGATTTCATAATTTTCATTTGGAAATGACACTACAGACTTATGAACCTAACCACACAGCCAAGATGATGCATGATCAGATGAACATTTTCCTTTATTTCACCTTGTTACTTAAACTGTTCTCTATAATTGGCAATCCAGCCTCTCATTTGTAACAACACAACCCTTCTTACCTAGTAATTTCACTTTTCAGGTATTTAATTTAAAGCCAAACTGCAAACCTCTTTTGGAGTTTCTTCATTCACCACCTCCAAAGCATTGATTATCCTTTTTCAGTACCTTGTAGGTTGTGGTACACAAGCTACTGTTTTGTTTTGTTGTGTCTTTATTTCTAGGCACTACAAGATTTATTGCTTGAGCACACAACTTATCCCTCATATTTCTATTAGCTAGTAAGGCTTTAATAACTTCTTCCTAGCTATTTGTTGTTTTTATTAGAGCTACAAGTTATGAGACTGCAGGGATAATAATTTGCCAGGATCATTCCTTTTTTTGGAAAACCAATGCATTTTCTTTCTTTTGTTATATAGTACAGTACCAGCTCACTTCTCAGTAGTTTTTTAGAACTTCTCATTAGTAGTACAGCAATATGTTCATTAATGCTCTAGGTTGTACACCTTCTAGACATATTGTATCTCTCTTAGCTGATATTTAGGAAGGTTTGCTTTGCAATTTTCAGATATTCAGGCATACTGATCTTAATAAGCATTTAGGAGCTAAAATTCCAGTGCACATATTTTAAGGAGTGTAAGTAATAGGCCCACAAAAGAGTGGAGCCAGCATATAGGAAGCAATAAGTCACTGAAAAACATAAGGCTGAAGTTCAGCATATTAGTGACACCATCAGCCAGCAGTTTTCCTCTTCTGTACCGTCCTCCCTCAACTGTAGAACACTTGGCATGTCACCCTACCTGATGAAGCAGTGGCAACACACTCGAGAGTCACTTCAGAACACACTTTTACTCTTCAAATCAGTATCTCACAAATATCAAATCCAAACCATTTCTCTGACCTGAGCAGATCATAAAGACCCATAGACCCTTCCTTTTATAATCTTTTTATCTTGAACCAAAGGTAGACAACCCACAAACAGCCTACTTTCCACAACCACTGAACCACATTCTGGCTTTTACAGCCACTTGATTTGTATCAGCTAGGCGGTAGCTCATCATTTACTGGTGAGAATGAGCTCAGCTTCCTGTACAGTGCCCTTTACCCCTCCAAGTTTTATAATCGTACACATACACCAAATGGTAGAACAACGGTTATGTACTTGTACACAAATCACTTGGATCCTTTATTCTTCTGTGTTGTGGACATCTTTCTGTCATATTGACATGGGTAGAGCTGATAACTACACAATGTAATCACACCTTTATTTCCCAAAGCAATAATCAGAGTCCCATCTGGAGAGGCCAAATGCTGAGTGTGATGCTCATATGGAAGGAATCTGAGGATTGCCAAGAAAAAAAGGGGGGTGATACTTTATAACAAGCTTAATTGACTTTAATTTTCCATTCAGTTTCAGGAAGTGCAATATGTTTGCCATGGAAGACAAGGGCCACTGATGCTTCTGGCAAAGGTAAGGAAACTGGGATAAAGTGACCAGCATTATCCATA